GCCCTTTTTTTATTTTTCATATAAGTTAAAGCGAAAACTGATTACTAAAACATGATTAATTTTAGGACAATAAAAAAAAGAGCTCTATTACTTTAAAGAGAACACTAAGTGGAATCTAATAAAGGTATTTTACTCGCATATCTTAAGTAGTTCAAAAGCTATTTCAGTTTAAATTTTGATACGTTTTTACTATCTACAATCATCAATCACAAGTCAACCAATCATATAATTTGTTTCAAATATATTATCGGAAATATCGGGTCTCTCATCGGAAAAACACTATTTTTGTATTTGTTATGCTATTTCACACCCTAACGTGCCTAGCTACTAGTGAATAATTTAATATGCAGTTATTGTCAATAGTTTATTATATTGCTGTGGTCTCATGATCTGCATTACGAATTGACCTGGGCCATTGAAAATCGTGAAATGACACTTGTCAATTCAGAATTGGTGTGCTACCACTTTTCTATAATGTCCTATAATGTCAAATATCAAATCAAATCAAATCAAATTCAAATAAATATTGATCAAATTCAAATATTTTTGATATTTGATTTGAAAAAATCAAATCAAATTAAAATCTATTAAATATTTGATTTGATTTGATTTTGCGGAACCCTAATTATCATTCATTCAACGCATCTTACGGTTGAGAATATCAGATATGGATTTAGTACTTGTAGAAGCAACTCCTGAACAAGCTAACATGTAATTATCATCATCATTATAATAAAATCATTTATTCATTAATCATTAATTAACTAAAAATTAAAATAAATATTTAAATTAACTATTTAGTACTAATCGCAACTCATACGCAGAATGGGGGTATCCACAATTAACTATAGATCAGTATTTAAAGCGTTTTATGCTCTCAAACAGTGTATATAATTCTGAAAATTTCAAAGTTTGGATTTTAGTTTCAACCAAAGATGCAAATGATACATCAAAAATCAACGAATCAGCAATCCTTTCAGCATGCGAAACCATTAGACGTAAAGCTCTAATCACATTATCATCTGGACAAGTTCAAGAAGCAATCGGTTATAGCATTCTAGCAGTATTCACACCTCCACAATATCGACACAAAGGTTATGGCTCGACAATGATGAAATTACTTTCCGATAAATTAAGATTTGATTTTAAAGCTGAGTTTTCATTTTTGTATTCTGACGTTGGTACAGAATTTTATAGCAGAATTGGATGGAAAGTTTATCCTCTCAAGGAAGTTAGGTTTAAGGTTGACAATAATTTCACTACACTTTCAGAAAATCCGACTGAGATAGTTACGATTGATCAATCTAATTTGGAAAGTGTAATACTACAAGATTGCGAATACATCAAAAAAGAATTCTCGAAATTAAACAAAAAAAGTTTGGTGGTATTACCTATTAATTCTACTTACAATTGGTTTTTTGAAAGAAACAATTATCTTTCGAAATCAAATGAGTTAAATATTTTAGGAGTCAAGGTTTTGAAAGAACAAGATATTAGAGGGTTTGTTATTTGGAGCCCCGACTTTCTGCACAATAAATTAGAAATTCTTAGATTTCGCAGTGACTCTCAACAAACAACGCAATTGTTAATTGAAAAAGCTAAGCAAGAAGCTAGTAGATTTAAGTTTAAACAAGTTACTTTATGGAACCCTGATTTAAGATTATTCGACCTTTCAAGAAAAGTCGAAGTCGAAGTTGTTGAAATGACCAAGACGTTGCAATCCTTAGCATGGTATATGGATGATGGTGATGTGGATTGGGTATTGAATGAGAAATATGGCTATTGCTAGACAGCAGACCCAGCATCGCCCACAAAAAAAATGTAGCTTGCGCTATAATTAAAGCTCTTGATTTCATATTTTTTATTTAGGACCTAATTAGTGTCACGGTTTTTCTTAAGAAAAATCGTGACTTGTAGTAACGAGAATGTGTATGCCCAGGGCCATATGGGTATTATGAGGCGGAGTCGGTGGCAAAGGCTTAGAAGTTTAGATCTATATAATTATTTATTTTCATTCGTCATTTTTGTTTATTTCTATATCTATAGATTTCTTTTATTTATTTGTTATTGTATGGCGTAAGGGTTAGGCATGTACTAAAGCTTAGATAAGTCCTCAAAATGGAAGTAAAGAAAAAACGTAAGGACCTGGAACAATACTCCGGGAATAGGCTTAGAAAGTATAGGTCTGGTCGGGCTAAGGTCGGAATAGAAGAAAACAAAGAACAGACATGGACTAAGGGATAGAGATATACTTAGTTTCTTGTTTTAAGCCTTAATGTATTCTGAAATATAAAAGAGCTGTCTTTTCGCTCTTCGAATAAAGCTTTAGACTTCAATGTCTTTAATATAGGAGTATTAAGAATTG